AACTTACAACCCCAAGATCAAGAGTCACATGCCCCACCAACTGAGCCAGTCAGGTGCCCCAAAATTTTACAAAATTTAACAGCAAATGACAAAATGAGAAAAATATTTGCAGAGTAAATGGTTGTTAAGAGTATACTTATTACGGGCGCCTGGGTGGCTCAGTTGGTTAAGCGACTGCCTTCGGCTCAGGTCGTGATCCTGGAGTCCCGGAATCGAGTCCCGCGTCGGGCTCCCTGCTCAGCAGGGGGTCTGCTTCTCTCTCTGACCCTCCCCCCTCTCATGCTCTATCTCATTCTCTCTCAAATAAATAAATAAAATCTTTAAAAAAAAAAAAAAGTATACTTATTACATGCCCAACTCAGAAATCAAATGGCCAATAAATACTAAAATGCTAAAATGAAACCAAGAAATACAAATTTAAATAGTAGCAGGAAGTATTTTGGTTATTCATCCAACTGACAGAAGTTGAAAGAAAGGCAGCACCAGTGTTTCTTGTAATGAAAGGAACTTAGACACGACTGATAGGTAGGTTAATTAGTACGGTATTTCTGGGGGCGGTTTGGCAACATAAATCAAATTTGTTTAAAACCTTTGACCCCGCAATTGTGCCTGGAGTTTTTCTGAAAGCAATAAAGATTTACCCAAAGATTAAGCCACAAAGCCACAGCGTGTTCATCACACATAGTTAAAATAATAAAACCAACCAACCAAGACAATTTACAACGTCCAACAATAGCTTAAATTCCAATACCTCCTTAAAAGGGGATACTATGCAGCGATCTTAGTAATGTATACAGAGATCCACAATCAATTAATTGAAAAAGAAGCAGGTCACACAAAAATAGGTACTGTAGGAATTTTTTTTTTTTTTGAATGCACGAAATCATAGAAAAAAAAGTCTGAGAGAACATACACCCAACTGTTGATGACAGTTATCTCTGGACGGTGAGATTATAGGTACTTTAAAAGTTTCTTCCTGTTGTTTACCTGAGTTAATATTTCGATAAAAAACATGCTGCTTTTGCAATGAGAAGGGAAATCAAAGATATTTTAGTAATGTAGAAAATGGAATGGCGTGGAGAAATGTTCATGATATATTTACTGTTAAATAGTATGTTCAGCCTGATCATACTTAATTTCAGAAACACATTTCTTTTTGTTCAGTTAGAAGTCACGGTAATTGTAACTACAAACACAGACAAATTGCCACATGTCCCCACAATGTATACCAACAGCCACCTACAGCTTTAAAAAGGTACAGATGATGTTTTACCATTAGCCTGGTCACATTTTGTAAAAGAAATCTGTGTAGGAAGAAAGGGCTCAATGGTCTATGTATCTATGACTATGTCATGCTTGCCGTTTGGATGCCGTTAGGAACCTGAAGTATCAGCATAACCTCTTGTAATACAGGCTTCTGAAATGTCACATGAGCTCCAGTAAAAACCTCAACTTGCTACTCTAATCATATGTCCACTGAACCTACTTACAGGAGTCTGGAGGTTAATGCTTTACTTTGAAAGGAAAAAAACAAAACAAAACCAAAAAACCATTGCGCAGCCTGACAGGAAAAGGATATCCTCTCCATAGTTTGAAAGGAAACTGGAGATGCTGCTGTATTAAAAATGTATTAGCTGCAAGACAAGAAGCCCTTCTGAGGTAGAAGTGCATTTGACATATCAGTTCAAAAAACAATACGGTCAGGGCGTTTGGGATTTGGAGAATGACTACCTAAGAAAAATAAAACACGGGGTAAGTTGCTGTGGCAAATGGGGCCAAGAATTTAAGCAGTTCGGGTGGTGCGAGTCTGTTCGCTCATTGGCTTCTTATTCATCTGTGCAGTTTTGCACTGACCTGACAGACTTGTAGGGGTCGAGCCCCGCATGCAGTATAACCATAGTAGATACAATTATTATCCCCGTTTAACAGGTGGAAAAAAGGGAGGTAACCTGTTCCAGCTCCCAGAACTAAGGACTGGTTTTAGTCAAGATTTGAAACTGACTCCCCCCACATTCCCGTGAGAGAAGTCTTTAGAAGAATCCCGGTGAGATGGGCTTATATGATATACCTTTCTACTGCTCTTTATACCTTAGTTTGCCCAAAAGCACTCAGCCAGGAATGATAGCACATGTTTACTGAGGCTTCTTCAGAGCTAGAACTGTCCTCAGTATCTTACCCATACTAATTCAGTTAATCTCCATTACAAGTCAGGAAGTCGTATGATCGTGCCCATTTTACAGATGAGGAGACTGAGTCACAAAGAGCTGAAATAACTTGCCCCACGTCACACAGCTAGTATGTGACCGAGCCAGGACGCAAGCCCAGGCATTCTGATCTAGAGGCTGTGCTTCTAATCCCTATGCTTTAGGATGTATTTCTCCATAAAGGTGTTAAATATCTAGTCTATGTCAGTCCTGAAGTGTTCTACTTGAATCATTTCGTTTGAAATAGCACCAACACTACTGCTGAGAAGTAGCTCGTGTCTTCAACTTGACGACAGATTATTAAAAAGTTTCCAAGAGAACACAGCAGAGTGGTTAAAAGAAGGAGTTTTGCAACCAGAATGACCAGGGTTTAAATACTGGATCTGCCATTTACTTAGCTCTGGTATCTTTTTATCCCTGATTTCCTCCCACTCTCCACTGTCCATCTGTCCACACAGGAATCAGGGAGACTAAATGGAAGGCAGGCTATCTCCAGAATGAAGAAAGCCTTGGAAATCACTGAGAACCCCCTCCTTTAGGAAGGAGACATTTCCTGCAGGCGATGCCAAAAGCCAGTGGTCCTCAACCCGGGATTCCCCCAGAGGGACAGCACTGATGTCATCTGGGAACTTGGTGGAGCTGCAAATCCCCCAGAGCTGACCCAGAAGCTCTGGGGTGGGGCGCGGTGGGTTTTAACACCCCGTAGCTCCTCCTGACGCACGCTGAAGTTTGGGGGCCATGGCCCCAGAGCACCTGGGAGATAGGCAGGGCACCCCCCGCTCAGAGCCAGGAAGGAGATTACCAGTAACTTGTGCCCAATGAGAACAAGGTATGAATTCGCTCCCTCAATGAATTAGAGCAGATTCAAAGCTTTCCCTGAGATAGCATCACCGCCCTTTACCTCCTGACTGGAGAGAAGTGGGTGGCATTCCAGAAGCAACTGGACGTGCCCAAATCTCCAGAGATGCTGTTGGAAGGCTTTATGGAGGAAGAGGGACCTGAGCTGAGTCCCGGGGGCGTTGGTCGAGGGGGTGGGGGAGAGCGGGGACAGTCGCACCTGCAAAAGGGCCAGTACCAGAAGGCTCGGCGTGAGAAAGGGCCACATACACGGAGCTCATAGTCCATTATGTTGGGAGGCAGGGAGTCTGGCAAGCGTTGCAAGTATATGTAGAGACGTGGGGGGTGAAGCTTAGAGCCAAGTGGTCAAAAACCTTGGAATTAAAATGTATACTATAGGCCATGGTTTCCCAATGTGTGTGTTTCTCATAATATTCTCTTTGTGGAATGTTAACAGATGTTCCGTGACTAAATGGGTTCTGGTACCAGTTCCAGTGTGGGGAGCTTTCCCACACCCACAAGCAATTCTGGGGACACCAGCTGCATTTCCTAGAATTCAGCAGTCCTGATACCATGTATCTGGGGGCCGAATCAGATCCCACAGAAGAAGAGCTCCGTCCCGCAGGACTGCTCTCCGCGCCCCCCCACCCCCACTTCAGACGCCAGTCGCAGACACACGTCGTCACCCGTACTTCTGACTGCCTGACCATATATCCGAGGGTCCCATGACTCCCTCCTCGGGTTCGATCAATTGGTTTGAGTGGCTCACAGACCTCAGAAGAATTTTACTTACTAGATGATCAATTTATTATCTAAAAGGGTAGGACTCAGGAACAGCCAGATGGAAGGATGCACAGGGCCAGGTGGGGGGAAAGGGTGAGGAGCTTCCACGCTCTCTGGGCACACCACTCTCCCCGGATCTCCCCATGTCCACCAATCTGGAAGCTCTCAGAATTGTCTCCTTTTGGGTTTTCACGGAGGTTTCATTACACAGGCATGACTGATTCAAACACTGGCCAATCTCCAGCTCCTCTCCCTTCACCGAAAATGGAGGGGGGCTTCTGGGGGGGGAGGAGGGGCAGGTCTGGTTCTCCTGCCAACCAGCCCTAACCTTAGCTGGGGTCCAAAAGTCACCTCCTTAACATAACAAATGACACCCTTGTTGCTCTCATCATTGAGGAAATTCCAAGGGTTTGGGGAATTTTATGCCAGAAACAAGCCCAAATATGTATTTCTTCCTATAAACCATAGTATCACGGGACAGACTAGTTTTGCAGTCTCCTAGACCTTACACCTTTGCATAGTCTCCCAGGTATCTTACCTGCAGGACCTCTTGAAATTGTGAATCTTGGGGCACCTGGGTGGCTCAGTCATTAAGCGTCTGCCTTCGGCTCAGGTCATGATCCCGGGGTCCTGGGATCGAGCCCCGCATCAGGCTCCCTGCTCCGTGGGAAGCCTGCTTCTCCCTCTCCCACTCCCCCTGCTTGTGTTCCCTCTCTTGCTCTCTCTCTGTCAAATAAGTAAATAAAATCTTTAAAAAAAAATTAAAAAAAAAAAAAGAAATTGTGAATCTTGAAGAGGGAGATGGATGCGGCGTTTTCCAAACTTAGTTCCACATGGAACCCCTTTCTGGTGATGAGTGCTCCAGGTGAGAAACTCGGTTCGAAGATTCCCGAGGGTGGGTGGACCTGTTCCTGTTGTGCCCTCCTTAGGAGCTTGTTTAAGAATGCAGCCCTCCTCGGAGGTCTTGACAGGCCCTCAGAGGCGGAATCACTGCCCCAGGTGAGTGCTATGTGTAATAAGCTTGGGAAAGACTGGTTTCCATTGTTGCAGCTGAATAAGGTGGGAGGAAGGGGAAGGAATAATGAACAAAACCCTGTGGCTTGGATACGGAGGGGCTGAGGGGGAGGGGGCCCCGAGACGAGGAAGGGGTGCTAATGGGTAAGTGAGGACGCTGAGGGGGCACAAAGGTACAATGGTCAGGAACAGAGCAGAGGTTGGAAAGAAAGCCTCACACCTGCGCAGGGGCTCCTGGTTTACAAAGTATCTTCCGCAATACCGGCTCTGGCTTCCTTACAAATCCCATGAGGCCGGTGGTAAAATTATCTCCATCGTTCTTGGTTTAAGGAAATCAAGGCTAAGCAAAGTGGACAGGTGCTGGTTTTCACTGCCCTGTCCCATATCCAGCCTTCCTGCCCGGGGCGGGAGCGACCACACGTCCCTCCCTGCATCCCTTTTCTGTCTAAATTAGCCACAGTAGGTCTCCATCACTTCCAAGAAGCCCGATTTGAATCAGAAAGGTTAAGTGTGGGCATGAACTCTCCTTTCAGGATTCAACATTCAGCACATCTTCTGCCGTGCCAGGCTGTGGCATTGAAAAGTATAATGAGTTCGATTTTAGTCATATGACAGTGTCAGTGATGAATATCCGAGTGGGAATTTCCAGTGGGCTTTTGGAGATGGAGGACCAGTAGAGGGGATAAAAGTCAAGGTAGAAGTGTGGATTTATGAATCAAGTCTATTGAAATCATAGGTGTTAATGAAATATCTTGTAACACAGGGCAAGTTGTGACAGCAAGGACTGGAAGTACCCTGACGATCCGAGGAGTGCAAAATAGTTTGAAAAGTCCTCCTGAAGAGCTTTGGAAAGAGAAGAACATGGCAAGAAATGTGGAAAGGCCAGACATTCGGGAAGATTCAGAGATAGAAGTCACTGAAGTATAGAGGCAATTTCCTAATATAGAATAGTAATATTAAGATAAAACTTCCACTCAGCAGTATGCCCTGTATGATCCCATTTTATTTTATTTTTTTAAAGATTTTATTTATTTATTTGAGAGAGAGAATGAGATAGAGCATGAGAGGGGGGAGGGTCAGAGGGAGAAGCAGACTCCCTGCTGAGCAAGGAGCCCGATGCGGGACTCGATCCCAGGACTCCAGGATCATGACCTGAGCCGAAGGCAGTTGCTTAACCAACTGAGCCACCCAGGCGCCCTATTTTTTTTTTTAATGTGTATATTTGCATGAGTCTGAAGGATCTACATCAAAACACTTGCAGTGATTATCTCTGGATGCTGCAATTTTTTTTGTTTCCTTCTTATCTTCCACATTAAGAATTCAAAATTTTTTCCCAGAAATAATTCATAAAACTAACCATATTAAAGTGTACAATTCAGTAGTTTTTAGTATATTCACAAAGTTGTACAACCATCACCACTACCTAATTCCAGAAACCCTACACCTGTTAGCAGTCATACCCATCACTGCTCCCTGACCCAACCTAGGCAACTGCTAATTACTTTCTGGTCTCCCTGGATTTGCCTGGTCTGGGTATTTCACGTAAATGGAATCATCCACAGCGACTACACTTATTGAAGTGATCATTTCAGAATGCAGGCACAGGGTGAGTCACTGTTATACACCTGAAACTAACAATGTTGTATTAAAATAATCATAAGAGGGGCACCTGGCTGGCTCAGCCATTAGAGCATGCGACTCTGGATCTCAGGGTTGTGAGTTCAAGCCCCACATTGGGTGTAGAGATTACTTAAAAAATAAATGATTTTTTAAAAAATCAGAAAAGAAAATACAATTTGCAAGTGATAAAAATAAAACTTCTAAATCAAAAATTTTTTTTAAAAATGGAATCAGACAAGAGGTGTTTTTTTGTGAGACCTGGCTTCTTTGACTTAGTACAATGTATTTATGGTTTATCCCCATTGTAGCATCTAATAATATTAGATAATATTCTATCACATTTTGCTTATCCACTCATTAGCTGATAGATACCTAAGCTGTTTCCACCTTTTGGCTATTGTGAATAATGCTGCAATGAACATCTGTGGACAAATTTTGTACAGATGTATATTGTTGATTCCCTTGGGTATATATATATATATATATATATATATATATACAGATAGGAGTGGAGCTGCTGGTCCATATAGTAACTCTGTATTTAGCTTTTTAAGGAGCGACCAGTTTTCCAAAGGGTCTGACCGTTTAACACCCCACCAGCAACACACAGGCTTACTAACACTTGTTAACATCCTTTCTTAGAACTGACACAGCACATGCATTAAGGGGGCGCAAGACCTACTTTGTTGTTTTTCCAACAAACTTAATCCTTTTTGTAATTTTTCTGCAGATGAAATATAACTAGGAAAAGATTCTCTATAATAATACTGATACAAAGGCTGACATTTATTAGGTTCTTAATCCTGGGAGGGCTCACGTATGATCCCTCTGAATTTTGCAGAAAGCCCCGAGTTTGGAACCTACTGGAGAGATGAAGAACACAAGGTACAGGAGTGAAGTGACTTCATGAGCTTTATAACACTGCCCCACAGCCGAAATTCTTAACCATCGTTGTGACATCTAAAAACCTGCCTCTCCCTTCAGGCTGTTCATCTGAAGAACAGTTTCAATAAACCACCGTGTGTCATGTACATATTTTTCCGCTTGGAAAAAAAAAAAAATCCTTCTTGAGATGATTTTTCACAAGTCAGTCAGGGACAATTTATCATACTCTGAATGCTAACAAATTCTGGGGATGCAAAACCTATAGCATGTGTATAAATAATTTGACTCAGCGGCGTAGACATTAATTCAATGCTTTTTAAAAAAAAACGAACAACCTTGTTTCCTTGAGTTGTTGTGATACTTCTTCTCTCCTTCTGGATTTTTTATTGGCTCATTGGCGCCAATAGGAACGGGTTCTAAAACTGATTAGCTCCGAGAAAGACTTTGTAATCAAATAAATCTAAAGTAAGGCATGCTTTCAATTTTGTTTAGAGGGGAGATTTTTTTTTTCTTCCAGCTCTGCTTTCTTTCCCTGAGAAAGCTTAGTACCTTTTGTGTTCTAAAACACGTCCACTTCTGTGATTTCAAAGGAGAGGAGAACAAATTCTGTTTGTAACTGGCCAATTTCAGCTCCTGAGAAAGACGGTGGAGGAAGTGGTATGTGAATAAGATCTGAATAAAGCATATTATTAGATCTCAAAGAGAATCAATAGAATCTAATGTAGTTTTCCTTGCATCGCATCAATAAAGCAACGTTGTTAGGAAGGCATTACAATCTTGTCTTCTCTTGTTGGTTTGAAAGCTTGTCTTTTTTGTTGTGGTGGCTGATTTGCCCCTGGGTCGTCTGTCCCAAGGACTAATTTGTTTCGTTTTTGTGATGCATCATCCCTGCAACCATACTGAAGGCTCAGAACACCTGGGGAGAGAAAGAGATGTTATTTTTATTATCTGTGCTTTATAAATAAATTTTAACCTGGAGAGATTACATGGCCTAAGTCACACATTCAGCGGCGTGGGAAGGCTGGGGCACAGTTCTGCCCGGAGATGTAATCTGCTTACAATCAGTCTGAGTCTTGGGGATTGCAGGCTCGCCCCTTATTTCACTGCTGGCAAAATTTATTTTCTCACAGTTCCGGTGGTTAGAAATCTGACATCAAGCCGTGGGCAGGGCTGGTTCCTCCTGAGGCTGTGAGGGAAGGGTCTGTACGAAAATACATTTCTGTTGTTTAAACCACTCATCCCGTGGGGCTTGGTTAGGGCATCCCCAGCCAACTAATACTGGGGCTGTTGCTACCACTTTACTGATGATGACAGAGAGACGCCTGGTCTCCTGACAGTCAGCCCAGGGCCCCAGGATCACGCCTGTGGGGCTTTATTATACCAGAGCCCAGAAAGCACAGCCATACGAGCCATTAGGTGCTCACAAGCTCCATGTTTAGCTTAGACATGGAGTAAATCCACAGTTCCACTCTCCTCTTTGATCAGCAATTATTTTTTTTTTAAAGATTTTTATTTTTTATTTTTTTAAGATTTTATTTATTGATTTGACAGAGACAGAGAGAGAGAGCATAGATAGGCAGAGCAGGAGGCAGAGGGAGAGGGAGAAGCAGGCTTCCTGCTGAGCAGGGAGCCCGATGCGGGGCTCGATCCCAGGACCCCGGGATCATGACCTGAGCTGAAGGCAGACGCTTAACGACTTGAGCCACCCAGGCACCCCAAAAGATTTTTATTTTTAAGTAATTTCTACACAGGGACTCAAACTCACAACCCCGAGATCAAGAGTCGCATGCTCCACGGACTAAGCCAGCCAGGCACCCCTGGTCAGCAAATCTTAATGAGAGATTTGCAATTTGGTCAGCTGGTTGGAGATTGACTTGATATCCTACCTCTTCCTCTCCAGTTCTCTTGCCAGGAAAAGTTTCTGCTGGGAAATGTTCACTCCTGTCCAGATTCCCAGAGGCTTCCGCCCACCCAAGACCCCTCTGTTCTGACATCCAGTGCTTTTGGGCAAGAGGACCCCTCTGTTCTTGTCAAGCAGGTTGCTCTGTCCTCTGGGGAGGAGTCTTGCATCTTCACTGGGACCCCAATGCGAGTCTTTGTCTCTGGAAGTGGTGGCGTCCCACTGATGTGCGGGCTGACAAGAGTGTATTTCATGGGGCTCTAGGCAGCGGCCCTCAGAAGGTGGCCCACGCAGGAAGCCTGGTTCCTGAGAGGCTCGGTGACAGCTCCACAGGGAGATGAACACAGAGGGGACAGCGAGCCTTCAGCAGCATCCACACCAATTTAACAGCAATGCTTTGTCAGTGGAATCTAAGAATAAAAAAAGAAATGAGCTCATATTTCATGTCTTTTTTATGCAATAATGTCATCTTTCTCATCACACATCATGCCCTACTGCAAATAAGAAAACTTCGCCAGGGGTAGTTGGAGAAGCTCAGCCCAGAGCTCAGCATGACTGACGGAGGAGGCACAAAGATCATCATAGAGAAGCACAGAGACCAGGGGTTAAAGACCCACGCCTGACCCTTCACCTTGATGGTACTTGGAGGCGGGGCCTTTGGGAGGAAATGAGGTTTAGATGAAGTCGTGAGGGTGAGGGTTCCCATGATGGGATTAGCATCCCTGGAGAAGGAAAAGAGACCAGAGGTCTTGCGGTCTCCGCCACAGGAGGACGCAGGAAGGAGGTGGCCATCTGCCAGCCGGGGTGATCCTCAGCAGGAACTGCATCGGCCGGCACCTGCTTGACCTGACGCTTCCAGCCTCCAGGACCGTGAGCGGTCAACGTCTGTGTCGTTTAACCAGCCAGTCTCTGGGGTCTGCTGTGCCAGCCGGACAGACCGAGACCCAGGCTCCGCCACTGACAAAGCAAGGAGCCGTGGCCTCCCCAGGGTCTTTATCAAACTTGGCCTGGGTTCCCATGCCCTGGCACGACCAAGCCAATTCCCCAGGACACAAACCTGCCTGTACAGGTGCTCTGTTGGAAGGCGGGTCCCAGGGGCGCCTGGGGGGCTCAGTCGTTAAGCGTCAGCCTTCGGCTCAGGTCATGATCTCAGGTCCTGGGATCGAGCCCCATGTCGGGCTCCCTGCTCAGCAGGGAGTCTGCTTCTTCCTCTCCCTCTGCTGCTCCCCCGCTTGTGCTCTCTCTCTCTCTGTGTCAAATAAATAAAATCTTTAAAAAAAAAAAAAAAGGAAGGCAGGTCCCAGGGCACATCACACCCCAGTCCCTTCCTATTGCCTGATGGGGCGGCCACCCCACAGGTTTCTAAAGGAAGGGCTGGTGGCTGGTGATGCCTTCCCTCCCACAAAGCTGGTCCCACCTCGAGGCAAGGCTTCCTTCGGGAAGCTCATCTACTCCTTCCTTAGCAACTTAAAGCTTCCTTAAAACTCCACACAGCAAGTTTCCTCCTCTTCAATGTGAATGGTAAGTTCCATTTTTCTACACTTGTAAAATAAATCTGTATCCAGAAAAATGCCATTTGTATATAATACAATCTGCACAAGACTTACTTTTCTCGTTGTTTAAAAAAAAAGGTCCAGATGCTCTCACGTTGATGAACAGCCATCCCAAGCCTTCACAAGCCTAGGCCTGCAGCTTCGGTCATTTGTTTCTCAATTATCTTGGGAGAAGTAGGTCAGAGATGGAAGCAGGCCCAGGAGGCAGGGAGGTGTGGGAGAAGGACCCTGGGAAATGGCTCTGCCATGGACTAGAGTGACCTTGGGCAAGTGCATGAGCCACCTGGCACCTGGCACCCCACAGGGCTGGGAGAACTGTGACCCCGTGCTTCTTGATGCGTGGTGTTCCACAGCGGCCCCTCCTGTCCTTTAGATGACAGACGCGCTGCCACATGGCCTGGACCGAGCCTCCTCCTCAGCCACCTTCCCTCTCCAGGCCGGCCTGAAAATGGGATAGCAGCCGAGGAGAAGGAGCAGAGAAGAGGTGCCAGGGGAACGGTGGCTTCGGGCTCCTGGAGTTTGCTAGATCTTGTCTTTGTTACTACTCCTGGGCATGAAGCTGAGTTCCTGGCCACTTCTCTTTCCTGCCCAGCAAGTAACTGCTTTCCATCAGCCTCCTGCTACTCCCCTCCCAGAGAGCCCTGCTTCCTTCCTGCCCTGCCAGGGGCTGCAGCGGGCTCAGCCCCCTCCCCTGCATCCCTGCACACCCCTCCGTCGGCCCTGGTTCTCCCGGCCCCGGCAGGTGACACAGCGTCGATATTTACACAGCATTCACGGCAGACAAAGCATGATCTTCCGGCACTAACAGGACTGCTGATTCACTGGCTTCTAAACAAAAACCACCAGATCAGGGGTTGGGGGGCCTGAATGTAACCCCCCCCCACCTCCCCTGTCTGCCCAGGGCCACTGTAATCGGAAGGGCTGCCTGCGGAGGGCGGCGAGGGGGTGTCAGGTGCTTGATGTAAACATGTGTGACCTCCTGGGAGCCTGGCCAACCCGGTGCGGCGGGTGATGGTTCTGTTTTGATGCACATGGGAAGTGAGGCTCGCTGAGATACCTGGGTGCTAAGGGGATGTCCTGGTGTGCCAACCGGTCTTAAAAAGAAACTCAGTCACGTGCTGACTCAGAGCCAATGCAGAGCTAGTAAGAGGCAGACCCTGTGTGGTGCTAAGGCCCCTCTCCTCTGCCTGGCACCCCCGCTCTGGTCCCCTGCCCACCCTCAGCGGTGTGGGCTCTAGGATGCCCGAGCAGTTAGGGAAGGTGGCGACCTGGAATCTGGTGGGGAGGGCCGCCGCCTCGGAAGGGGAGGGGACAGACCATGAGAACCTGGGGTAGTTCTGTCCCCTGGGAAGTGTGATGGGGTGGTAGTTTGCACTGGGTAGGTTTGGCCCAGTAATTTGGGTCTGGATACTTAGTGGGGGTGAGGACATTGACTCGTCGGTCCTGCCCCAGATGCTGTGAAGGATCACTGAGCCCCTTCAGCTAGCTCCTTCTTTTGCATGTGCTCCCTCACTGTCTTGCCAACGGCCCAGGGGATAAGATCCAGCGCTTCTGGGGTCCGCTGCCTGCTTTTAGGCTGCTGGAGGAGCAAGGCATTCAGAAACCCGTGACCAGGCCTCTCTGTGCTCGGGGCTTTTAATCTCCTTAATTGAAATTGATTGGCCTCTTGGGAGGTAGCTCTGCATCGGCCCTGAGCTTCAGCATGTGATCAACTTTTGCTTCTTTCTTTTAAAAGACCAATTGACACAGCAGGGCATCTAATCTTATCCCTGAATCCTGGGCCCCCTTCCAGATGAGAAGCAGAACCAGAAACAATCACACTTACAAAAACAGCTCAGGAAATAAAAGCGCCTGATAAAAATAAGGGGAGAATATTCTTGTCCCATTGTGGCTTCACATGCTACAAAAGGCCAGTCAAAACCCCATTACCAAGGAAAGATGTAATCACATGGGGAAGGAGCCATGGGAGTGGGGGGCCGGGTGCGCCTTCTGAAACTCACAAGACCAACAGACTGGGCTAGAGCATCTCTAAGAACCAGCTGCAAAATAGATAAAATGGGAAGAAAAATGTAAGCCCCTCTTCAGTTAAAAGAAAACCAGACATTGAGAGAATTGTTTGAGCATCCAGATCTGCGTTCATCCAGATGGACCAGTCACCCCCAAGTGGCTGCAGCTGGTTGACAAACCGGTCTGGCAGGTCATATCTCTTGGTGAAGCCTCTGATCGGGGCCTCTTACTTACCAGACTGATCGCATATCCTGGGAACAACCCTCTGGGGGCTCTCCTGTGCCTCCTGGGGGTCATTTCACCAACTGGACACGGGGCTTCAAAGCGGCTATGTTGGGGAGGTTCGGGCCACTTCACGACGTCCAAGCCTGGGCTCTGTCCCAGCAATAGTGGTGTGGATTAGCACCAGGACGCAAGGAGTACCCTGGAGGCAAGGCAGCACGGCAGCCACAAGTAATCATTATGAGCGACAAACTCATTCTAAGAACATCTTGCTGCCTCGCCTTCTAAAGATCAAGTTGGGGGCGCCCGGGTGGCTCAGTTGGTTGAGTGTCGGACTCTTGCTTTCAGCTCAGGTTATGATCTCATGGCTTGTGGGGTCGAGCCCCGCCTGGGGCTCCGTGCTCACCGGGGCGTCTGCTTGAAGATTCTCTCCCTCTGCCACTCCCCCAACTCACATGCATGCTCTCTCTCTCTCTCTGTCTCTCAAATAAATAAATAAATCTTTTTTTAAAAAGATTTATTTATTTATTTATTTGACAGAGAGAGAAAGAACACAAGCAGGGGGAGCTGCTGGCAGAGGGAGAGGGAGAAGCAGGCTCCCTGTTGAGCAGGGAGCCCGACGCGGGACTCGATCCCAGCACCCTGGGATCAGGACCCAAGCCGAAGGCAGACATTTAACCGACTGAGCCACCCAGGCACCCAATAAATTAATAAGTCTTTAAAAAAATGAAGATCAAGTTGAAGGGGATCAAGATATACCACCCCAATATATGCTACCTTGGCATAAGGATTATTTTAAGCTGAAGGCATCTGGGAATCAACAAAATGCAGGAAGAATTCTCCTCCCTCCTCTTTTTTGCCTAAAAGCAGGACATAAATTTCCTTTTGTGAAGGTATCCCCATCTCCCATACTAGGAAGAGAGTAACTCTTATTACCAAGAGAGTCATCACGGAGATGAGTCTGCATTAACAGACCTTACTAAAAAAAAACCCTTCATTTTCCCATACATATCCTCATCACTTCACAGTGTATGGCTCCTTAAAGCCCAAATCTCCTTTCCTTTGATAAAGATGGCATATAAGCCCCCCAAACAGTCTAACCACCTCTTTTCTGTGAACTCCTGTGCAAGAAAAATGTTAATAAAATTTGTATTCCTTTTCTCCTGTTTGTCTTTTGTTGGTTAAATTTGCAGGCCCCCAGGCACTGAACCTAAGAGGGCAGAAGAAAAGTTTTTCCTCCCCCAAAATATCAAGACATCCAGATCGAAAAAGCAGAGATCTAGCTTGTTTGCTGGAGAAGCTCCATTTTCAAATAAATTCAAGTTGAGAGGGGTTCTTTGTCTCTACCTTCCCTAGCAGCAGGAATGTGATTTAAGGATGAAGGAGAGGGTGAGCTCTATAAAAATGAAAGATGTATCTGTCCCAGTCATCACGGAGCTAGTGTCTAAGGGTGCTTAACACATGGCAGGCATGCAACATATCAATGGATGAATGGATATCGGATGAAATATCCAAAATACGATTGGAGCAAATGCATAGTGTAAAAGGTAAAACTGCAGTTTGTTGAATACGGGCTCCCATAAAATAATACCAAGACAACCTGTTGATAAGGCACAGCTCCTGGCATGAAGAGAGGTCACTTCTTGGCTGTTTTTATTTTTTTTAACACTTTATTTTTAAGTAATCTTTACACCCAAAGTGGGGCTCAAACTTACAACCCCAAGATCAAGAGTCACACACTCCACCGGCTGAGCCAGGCAGGTGTTTTCTTCTTAGCAGTTTTAACAGTGTCTCCAAGTGGGTCTCACTGGTGAAGTCCGGACATTCATCATTTATGGTGGGTGTTTCGGTGTGGAGTGGATTAGGATTGACTAAGGCTCATGATATAAAAGTTCAGGATTGTGGGCACAGCAAGGTGAGTTAATAGTCATTTACTGCTATCTTTTGAAGTTAAGCAGTTTCAAGTGGGTTTGGGTAAGTTCCTAAAACAATAGCTATTTGCAAATTTTATCTTTGGCAAGTGTTTCTGTAATAATAAAATTATATTGGTAAAGACAGTGGAATTAAGTCACGTTTTTAGTGAGCAGCCACATCGCTGTAGACGTATGTGAGCTAAGTGGGAGTTGGTGGTTTCAGTCCTCAAGCTAAAGAGCTTACATTAACCATTCTCCTTCTCGAGCCCGACATAAACAGACAAGTAGACCATGTTTGTCCACAGGCCCTAGGATAGGTGTGGTGGCTAATTTCTGGCTATAGTGGGCTGATAACATATTGAACCACCCAAGGTGGAGAGGTAATTCAGGTATGTGTTAGACTGTGATATCCTCTGAAAATAGCCCTGAGAGAGGACCAGGTGCATAACTTGAAGAGCCCAGCGCAAAATGAAAATGCAGGGCCCCTTGTTCAAAAACTAAGAATGTCAAAGAGTTTGGCAGTTCCTCAAAAAGCTAAACACAGAATTTCCATGACCCAGCAATACTACTCCTGGGTGTCTACCCAAAGAATCGAAAACAGGGACTCGAACACATATTTGCCCACCCATGTTCAATGTGGCATTATTCACAATAGCCTAAAGGTGGAAACAACCTAAGTGTCTGTCAAAAGAGGAATGGATAAACAAAATATGGTCTATACATACAATGCAATATTATTCATCCATAAAAAGGAATAAAGTTATTTTTTTAAGATTTTTTATTTTTATGTAATCTCTACACCCAATGTGGGGCTCGAACTCACATCCCCAAGATCAAGAGTCACAGGCTCTACTGACTGAGGCAGCCAGGAGCCCCAAAAGGAATAAAGTTCTGACACATGCTATAACACTGATAAACCCTTAAAGCATTATACTAAGAGAAATAAACCCAACACAAAAGGACAAATATTGTATGATTCCACTTACATGAAATATCCAGAACAGGCAAATTCACAGAGACAGAAACTGCATTAGAGGTAATCAGGGGCTGAGGGGAGGAGGGGAGCCGGGAATGAAGGGTTATTGCCTAATGGCTTTAGAGTGGCTATTTGGGATGAAGAAAAAGTTTTGACAACAGAGAGTGGTGATAGTTGCACAATATTGTGAATGTAATTAATGTCATTGAACTGTATACTTTAAAATGGCAAATTTTAGGGGCACCTGGCTGGCTCAGTCAGTTGAGCATCCAACTCTTGATTTCAGCTAAGGTCATGATCTCAGGGTCCTGAGAATGAGTCCTGCACTGGGCTCCACACTGAGCGTGGAGCCTGCTTAAGATTCTGTCTTTCCCTCTGCCTCTCCCCACCCCAGCTCGCATGTACTCTCTGTCTCTAAAAAAAAAAAAAAAAAAAAGGCAAATTTTACTACCCAAATGTCCATCGTTAGACGAATGGATAAAGATATGGTATACACACACACACACACACACACAATGGAATATTACTCAACCATGAAAGAATGAAATCTTGCCATTTGTGACAACACGGATGGAGCTAAGTATTATGCTAAGTGAAATAATACCGTATGATTTCACTCGTATGTGGAATTTTAAAACCAAAACAGATGAACAAAATAGAGACAAACAAAAAACCGGACCCTTAACTATAGAGAACAAATTGGTGGTTGCCAGGGATGGGGGATGGGTGAAATAGATGATGGGGATGAAGGAGCGTGCTTGTTGTGATGGGCACTGGGTGATGTATGGAAGGGTTGAATCACTGTATTATACACCTGAAACTAACATCAACATTGTATGTTAATTATACTGGAATTTTTAAAAGTGGCAAATTTTAGGATACGTTATTTTTAATTATGGTACCCTGTTATATATATTTTACCACAATAGAAAATTTATTGGGGCACCTGGCTGGCTCAGTTCGGGGAGCGTGCAACGCTTGATCTTGGGGTCATGAGTTCGAGACCCACATTGGGGGTAGAGATAACTCAAAAATAAAATCTTAAAAAAAAAAAAAATATATATATATATATATATATATATATACTAAATAAGAAAAAATAAGAATTTCAACACGGCAGCAACGGAGCATTAATCAAGGGCAGGTCCCTTCTGTGCCTGGGGTTCTATGTGAAGCCGGCCTTGCCCCTAAGAGGACAGAGACCCTCAGATTTCGGGGGCATGTCACATTCTAGAGACTAAGGGCCTACATCTGGGCCACTGGAAACCTAACTAAAGACAGACACCTTGTTACCTTTGCCACACATACCTTAGATTACAAGCCCTTGGTCTGGGGTTTCCTGAGCAGAAAGAATGCCCTTCTTTTGAGCCAAACCAAACCTGGGCACTAACAAGGTGAACCTTCTGAGCCCTGCAGCCATCTCTTGTAATACCTGCTCGACAGGAGGGTGGGGACTCTGCTTCCTGGCAGGGGACAGACCCCAAACAAGACATTTCACATTGAAGTCATACATAGTTCTCTGGCTCTGCCCCCGCCTGCCACCGTAGGGTAACTCGGCCACCACAAGACCTCTCACATCTGGGGATTTCTGTGCCCTCTCACAGCCAGGCGGCATGCCCTACCTTCTCCAACTACAAGGAGAGGTGCTATCCTAAACCCCAGCAAGGGGCCTCACCCTCATCCTGCCTCCTGTTCACGTGTCTGTGGTCAAGCAGGGGCTGCTCGGCAACACCCCAGGACAATGATGCCGCCCACCTGCTGGTACGCCTTCAACCTCCAGGAACGAGAACCCTGGATCATCACCACCTCCCCCTGTCCCATGTTGGGCCCCTGTGTAGGTTTCCAAGGACCCAAAATTCCTTGAGGAATGTCCAAGGGGATGATGGGTGGCCTTGCTGTGTTAAACACTGCCCTTCGGGGGCGCCTGGGTGGCTCAGTCGGTTAAGCAACTGACTTTTGATTCTGGCTCAGGGTCGTGAGATGGAGCCCCCCCCGAGGGGCTCTGCACTCAGTGCCAAGTCGGCTTGGCCCTCTCCCTCCCCCTCTGCCCTCCCCTCGCTCTCCCTCTCTCTCTCTCTAAAAATGAAAATCTTAAAATAAATAAATACTGCCCTTCAGGGTTGGGGCTAGGGCTAGGATCTGCCCCACCAGACCCACAGGGAACCCCAGATGAGGCCTGAATCCTGGAGATTTAATGTTTGGTCGGCAACTCTCAACATACTAGAGGTGTAAGGCCCACGGGTGTCACAGTAGGGAAAAATCAATATATTTCGAGTCCTCTTCTCCTTCTCCTCTGAGAGGATACCTAAGATT